TATTACTCAGCTATGGAGAAAACCCTGGGCTAGAAACCTAATCAGAGAACAAAAGATGAGCTTATGGAATAGACTTAAGGGAGCTGCAGCTAAATTTCTGTTAATTCCAAACATATCTGTGTGTACTTGTGCTGATAAAAGTTGTCTGTAAAACTCCGAAAGAAATTTTAGATCATCTTCTTTAAGTGCTGCATGAACATTATTTGCTGTTCTGATATCAAGCCCCATGTACTTTATCTTGAATGACAGTAAGCTGGTTTGGGGAATTAAAAGAGCCTTCAAAGGTTCAGGTACTTGGGAATTATTCCATATGTTTAATATAATGTCTTCCTTATTTGAGCAATAAGGGACATGCTTCACCTCATTGATTTTGAGACAAGCCACAAGTGCTGCTCCTATTCTTAGACATACAGTTTACCACCAATACTAGCATGATAATGGGTGTGTCTAAGAACACGCCTGAGAAACTGAGTCCCTCGAGGGAAGGAATATCTAGTTCCAGGTCGATGGAATTTGAGTTTCAGCACTATCAGGACTGTACAATCAGCAGAACTTGAGGCTCAGCAGTGCAGTTAAGTGCATGGGGACTTTGGGCACTTTCATCTATGGGAGAGTTTGATTAGTTTTGGATATCATTTCTGTGTTGTCTGTTCTTGTCACTTGTACATCCACATATCTGTTTTCATCACTTGGATTCAAGACATGCAGTAGCCTCCATAGCTAGTCATGTTATAATATGTACAACAGTGAGAGTAAATGTAGTGAGAGTAATGGGAAGGTAGCATTTGAGATTAAGTCTTAGAGTATTGAAAGGAATCCCATTCATGAGTTGCCTCAGTACCTTCTGCATGAAGTTCTTGAAGGGACATTTCTCCCACATACTTTTAGCAAACTGCAGTAAACGCTGTCACATTGGTTGTTCATTATATAGCTTAAGTCAACTTGAATTTAGGGCTTGTCTGTTTTTCCATGTTCTTTGTACTGTGTAAACTTGAGTCATAATGGCTACTGTTGTCAGGAGCTGTCAGTTAATTTGCTCTGATGATACACTGGCATTTTGCTCAATCACAGCAATTTAGGAGAACCTGGTCAACTGTAGGCGCTTCGTTTTGTTTCTTCTGAGTGTGTCAGCTGGTTCCTCCAAACTACAAGATGAGCTCTTCACTTTCAAATTAGGTTAGTTACATATTCTGTTTGCATCTTAGCTCAAGCAGTCATGCTCATTTTGGTTTTGTGTTAGTAGTGAAGACTTCTGCATTTTGGGTTCACAGGTTGCAGTCTTCTGAGTCACATGATAAGAATTAAATAGGGAAGCTTTTAAACTTGCTACTCTTTTCATGTTCTTTTATTTTGTTAAAAACTCCTAATATTGTTTAGGAGTCAAGTTACTTAGATTTCCTTTGTTCAGTCTCTCTAATCTCCTTATCTGTTATCTACTAGAGTTTTTTGAAGGCCTACAGTTGCTCACAGTAAAAGCTGGAAAAACAAGTTGTAGTACCTGCAAGACCTTCATCAAATGCATTGTGGTGGGGGTTCCTTTCAAATGTTTCCTAAGAGCTACTTTTAAATGCTATTTTCAAGATAACAATTAATGTGTGATAACTGAACATGGTGACTTATTTCCCACTCTGCATGTGTGACTTGTTGAATACATCCTTGGTTGGCGTTTGGAAATTCTTCATTAAGTGACACACAGGATGTAACGGATGTGGGTATTCCTGTCTTCTGCAGTTTGCACGCCAGGTTGATTTCTTGCCTACATAAATGAGGGATAGAACTGGAAATAAGTCATCTGAAGAGGAGTCTGGAAAGACACTTAACAAATCAATGGAGTCTTCTTACAGAAATGCAGAATCTGTAATTTAAATTTCAGAAATTTGATGACAAAGTTGTATTTCATTTTCTTGGGGTACTGAGAAGTTACCCTTACTAGCACATACATATTCTCACAAAAAATATATTTTTATCTCAATTGCTTCAAAAAGGGGCTGGATATTGAAATGTATTTTAGAAAAAAGATGGGGAAACACTTCTGAGAGCAGGTGGATTTCTCATAAGTACTCCATAATTCTGAAATTTGACTGGTCTGAAAACTGAGACAGTGAAGCAACATATGTGTAACAGGTGGTCTAATCCATGTAGATGTTGTGCATAAATTAATGGCTAAAAACTGAGCTTGCACTGATTAATAAGGAATCTTTTTGTTACTGCTGTCTTCTGAAATCGGCTTTGTAGTACTGTAGCTTGAAAGTTAGTACTGTGGAGAACAGTGTGAAGAACAGAAACTAATTACTAGTGGAAAGGCTGGTATTAATCAGGTTGATTTTTTTTTTTTTCTTGAAACTGATGACACTTTCTTTGCTCTAAGGTGACACAGCTATTTGCAATAATTTTCACTTTGCAATACTCTTGATCAAGTAAACGAAAAGACTCGGTGATTATAAAAATAATTCTAATATACTATAATATATCTACATATTTTTCTGTGTTCCATGATGGCTTTTCATCATCACAAGTTAGTTAACTGCCCAACACTTGTCTTAATTTATAGTTGTTTAATACTGACACTTTCTATTGTGAAGTGGAAGTGGCTTCTGGGGCTAGGGAGAATCTGTGTGGTTTGATAAAGCGAAGTAATGATAAGAATTTGAGAAAGCTAAAGAAAGACAGGATAAGTTTTGTAAAGCATAATTTTAGGGGGCAGAAAATAAGATGGTAAAGGTACTGGGCTTTATTCATTTCTACTGTTGGGTTTTAGCCAGTATGTGGATCTTCAAGGTCTGATTTAAAAATAAGACTGTACCATAGAAATACTACTCTTTTGCAGATAACTGTTTTCTGTTCTGCATTGCTTCTTGTACTGGGATTCAGCATCAGTATCACTGAAACTTCAGAATAGATCCGTCATGAGAATAGGTTCAGGTAAACACTCCAGCACTTCAGATGGTTTGTTGTAGCCAAAGCTTGATCATCTGGGTTTTTGTAAATGTGATGCACAAACTGGCTTTTTAACGTCATTGGTGTAGAGTTATTAGGCAATATATGTTCTAGAAGAAACCGCAACTCAAAATTTACCAAGTCAGACAGTTCGGTTGGCTCACTGTGCTTTATGGTATTTGACCAAAAGGCAAAACTGTGGGAGTGGATTATAAACCAAGTCTTAGATTATGAAGGGGACAACCTTAGTTGAAATAAAGCAATCTTTGTGTCTCATGTGCTTTGGGCTCTAAACCTGTCTTTCTGCAGATTCATTTCATTAGAAACCAGCTAAAGAACAAAGAGGTTGAGGTTTACGTTTCTCTTTCTGTGTGGTGCAAGCTGACAAACAGCAATTGGGAGTGCAGAGAATCTCCATTTTGAGGCCATCTGTGTAAGTTCTTTTGTCTGAACCTGACAAGAGGTCATGGCAGATGGTGGGGTCACAAAGTCTGGCTTCTCGAGCTTGACAGAATGTGTTCATAAAGCTGGAAGAATACCAACTGTTCATACTGGCTAAAGAGCATTGTGGCAGAGGATGGTAATAGTTTATGGACAATACCTTCTTGATCGCTAAGCTTGACAGCAAATAACCTGTCAAAGATGAAACTAGTTTGCTTATCTGTAAACAGGTTAAAACTGCTTAGCAAGTGTGTTCTTAACTATGTTTTATTTGAGTAAATTGATTGTAAAGCCTCTTAAAGCAAGAGAGGGAGGTCAAACTGCATCATGGCTTTTTGCCAGCGCTCCAGATGATGTGTTTGAAGAGTTTGTATGGAAGGAGGAGGAAGGTGGAAAAGGAGAAGCCACCCAGATCATAGTTTTCAGATGCAATGCAAGGATTCAGTATTTGCTCTTTGCCATGACTGCTGTATCTTTATGGCTTTTCTGTGGCTCTTGTTGGGGTTTCAGGATTGCTACACGGATCCAATAGCCTCTTTACTCAAGGGTGTGAGTAGACACCTCTCTAGTGTCCTCTCTGAAGGCAGAAAAAAAAAAAAGCTGCTTATTTTCTTAGATTCTCTGTTATGAAACTAAAACTTAGAAGTTTTCATGGGCAAATGTCTTAGTAGACAGAATTGTGTGGTGTTCGCATGCTGGAGTAACTGCTTAGTTAGGCTGCAATAAATTGAGGTGCAAAGGAAGATAAATACAACTCACTTGACAAGAAACGGAGAACACCTCTTAAGAGGAAAAGAATGTTTTTCCAGTAACTCTCATACCACTTTAATTGATATATCTGGTTAAAGCAAGAAATCTATAGAAATCCTAGAATTTAAAATTCTTCTGCGTTGTTCAAAACCACTAGTGCAGTGATGATGGAGTTACCCATTAGCTACAGACACTACTGGAACAATTTCTAGCCATTTTCTAGAAGGAAAGTGAAGGCACTGCCCATTCTCAAACTTTGTGTAGGTTAAAATATAGAGGAAATAGTGATTTGCACCCTGCTTTTGTAGCAAGTGACTTCTGCTGTAAATGGCCGTGACTCATTTTTGGTAACTAGTTCAGGCATCTTCCAAAAGATCTTGCTGAATTGATTCCACACTTGGATGTGTAAGACAGGGAGAATTATTTACACTTTCAAATGCAATTCAGGTGTATTTTGTAGTCCATTTTTTTAACAGCAACTACTACTTTAAAAGTACTTCCAGAGTACTTTAAAATGCTTTGTCAAGTTAATTCTATCTTTAAAATGGTTTGTGTTGCCAGCATTGATTTGTAAATTCTTTTTTTCTGGTTTTCTGTAAGACTGATAGAAGCTTACATTTTACAGAAGATGTTACTTGAAGTATTTTTCAGGGTACCAAAATGTTTGTCTCTTCCTGGAACTCTAATTCTATAATTCTAATTACATAGGTATAATAGTATAATAAATAAATCAATGAAACAACATAGTAATAAAACCTGAAAATATTAACATGAGTTTGAATTGGAATGTTTTTTCTTGGATGTTTCCTAAAAATACTTAGTGTTTGCTGTGTGTTGTATATATAAGCATATCCTATTTTTTTTATCAAGGTCTTGGATGTCTGCAGTGACGGAAGTAGAATCTTTCTGTTGTTGGAGACTGTAGGCACAATGGAGAGAATTCATTCCCTTCCAGTTTTTAGAGCCAATCTGCATTAGATGCAAACAACTGCATGGTTTTAATTATAAGACTTTAGTAATGGTATAACATGCTTTGTTAGCATGTTAATATAGTTAGGCCTCTAGGTAAGTTGGGCTTTTATATGTAAGATTACATCTCTGTCTATTCCAAGCAATGTACATTTTTAGTACCTGTGCAGAATATCCTCTGGTGATGCAGGGTTTCAGCTAGAGAGGGAACTGAAAATGTATTTTCACTAAGATATTTTATTGCCTTTCTTGCAGGATGTACATTTTAAAGATCCTGTGAAGATGAAAAGGGATATCTTATGGTTTTACGGAATATAAAGCAATACTGTCTGACATGACGGCAAAAAATGTAAGTATAATTATACAACATGAATTGCATTTTATCTTGGCACACTGCCAGTCGCTCCTGGCTTTCGGCATTTGAAGGGCTTTGTGTTTCATTTCTTGTATTTGCCCACACAAGAAATCAAACACAAAGGTCTTCAAATTAAAAGATCTTGTCTGGATTTTGTATGCCACAAATGTGTACCCCATCATTTTCTGCAGTGTTTTTATAAATTTAAACTGGTTAGAAGCTGTTAAGGGATGTAGAGTTTACTCAGCTACAGGTCAGGTTGATAACTGGGGCAATGCTTATGCTATTTCCTTATTGATCCTTACTGGTCCCTTCTAACTTGAGATATTCTGATTCTAGCACTGCTCCAGAGTTATTAGGGAGCTTCACATTTTGCACCAGAGCAAAATCCTTCTGAATCCAAGTATAAAAACTCAAGAAAGAACAGAAAGATGGTGTTATTTCTTTACTAATGCCGGTGCACACTTGGTGCCTACAAGATTCAGGGCCTTCCTGTTTCTTCATCTGCTGCATTAACGAGCCTGTATTATGGTGTCTAGAGGCTCTATATTGACTCCCCTGTCTTAAGTTCTGAGGAAGCTTATGAAATGTCTAACATCCTGACCTTATATTTCTGCCTAATTAGCTGTGCTTCCTGTGGTACACAGTTTGTATAGAGAACAGTTCTGATTAAGCTTTGTGGTCACTGAGTTGAGCATGACTTTCAGTCTTGGGCAGTTTACCTGTTGACTGCCTTTGATAGGGCATCTACAGTCTAATTAAATCTGAACACAACATAATTAAAGGAATACCCCACAGTAAAGTGCAAGTAACCATAGGATGTCACTCTGTTCAGTAACTGCAAAAGCTTTTCTGCATATTTGGTTGAATTGTTGACAAGGGCATAGTTTGGTAAAGTTAATTCTCAAGTCTTAGAAATTTCTGTTGTCTTCATTAATAGCTTCATTTTGTGTGTAGTTTCAGGTAAGGCTTTTGGATATCTTATGTCTAAAAGTTTGATTTGAGCTGACCAAGCCAGAAAATAAATTGGTGTGTATGTCCAAAGCCTTTTGATTTACTTATTTCATAGGCCATGTTCAACTGTTGTATAAATAGGTAATTCTATTGATGTATGTGAAACAGCTGTGCAAATCGGAATCTTTTTTGTTTTGACCTTTTGTTCAATGCAGCTGAATGATAAATACGAAAGCAAATAAAATCCATGGAGTGTTGTGTGGCAGTCAGAGTAACATGAGTTGGAAGGGATTGCAGAAGGCCATCCACTATGGCGCTTTGCATGAAGCTCTGACACTCAGTTCAGAACCCAGCTGCTTGGTGCTTTGTTGAGGACTTCTCAGAGCTTTGCGCTTTGAAAACCTTCAAGGACAGACGTGAGACATTTAGTCTGGGCAACCTACGCTTGTGCTGAATATAGAAATAATGGTTTTGCTGTTGTTTAACACAAGGTTATAGTTACTTTACAGAATAAATATTAGTACGCATACTTTGAAATTTTGCAGATTAAACTGTGCAAGCCTAGTTATTTATCTAACTTTTACGGGTTTATTAAAAAAAATTAGTTTGTGGTGCAGATGAAAGTAGAACTCATGTTGTTTTCATTTTTCATGTTAAGTATACCTGTTTAGAGGATTTGCAAAGTGTGAAAACAAGGGTGTTCATATGCTTTCTGTCCTCATTTGTAGCACTTCTTCACGATTCCCCAACCTTAGTTACTCAAAACTGCCCACTCAGGCCAATAGTGTTCTCTGTTGCTGTTAGAAGTCCCAAGAATGCTTCTGAATTTCTAGAGTTCCGGGGTTTAGCGTGTCTGTGGGTTTCTGCAGCCTGAAACCCATTTCAGGTGTAAGGTTGGTGTTTTTCTGTTCCATTGTCTGAAATATTTTAATGCTCTGCTGAGTGAGTTGAGGGAGAAAGCTCTGCAGAGCTATTTCCATCTTTTTTTCTTTCTGTTGAAGCATCAAGGAAAGGGAATTTTAAAGTACTGGCATTTGGACATCTGGGAAGTTCTTAAAGGTCATAACTTTAATCAAACATATACAGGAAGCTGTCACCTCTTATATTCTGAAATCAGTACCCCTCAGCTGGGACACAGAAGCATAGGGGGATGTTTGTTCTCCTAATGCATCTCAAGAAAAAGTGCAGTGAGCTTAGGCTAAGATGTCTTTGGATCTCACATGCATAAGCTATGTTGAGCAACTTTGCCTTCAAGGAAGCTTGTGCTTCAAGCACACGGCAAGCTTTTTCCATAGGTTGAATGTGTATGTAAGATGAATAACATTCCGCATCACTAGTTTTTCTTGCTAGCATTTTGAGTACGTGATGGGAGAATTATCAAGACTGGGCTCGCTGCTGTAAATACAGGACTTTGTAGGATCTGCTTGTGGAATATTGCTTATGGGTAATTTGACCTTACTTGGGAAACAAATCCAACCAGAACAGCTGTGAATAATGAAAGGATGAATAAAAGTTACAGATTCTTCTGGAGATGAGATGTTTATGTGCTTACGATACACATTGAACCCAGATGTAATTTAAATCTCCCTGTCATAATGGGTTATTTTATTCTTTGCTTTTATAATAAAATATATTTTTTTCTTGCCTGTTTTGTACTTCCATTCTCTTCTGTCCTTCAGGTAAGAAGGCACTGAAACAGTCATGACAAATTGTGAAAAAATGAGCAAGTATTCATGGTAAACTTACTTTTTTAGGACAAAATAAATAATGTGACTCAGATTATTTGAATAACAGTTTTTATTGTCTGATCTGAATTTGTATGCGTATGCTTATAAAGGTATTTTTCACTGCTTCTTAAGAGAGTGGTTTTCTTCTCATAGATGAGGTCAGTTAAATGGCTGTAATAGTTCTCCTTTCACATGTCGATAGTTTAACTGCTGAAGTCAAGAGGTCCTTAAACAAGACACCTGTTTTACACAAGAAACTCTTCAAAAACAATGTAAAGGACACTAGCTGTACTGTATTAATGGCCCAGGCAGATTTCTTTTAGATTATAGATCCTTTTTATGTCCTACCCAAGTTGTTTCTGTAAGTGATACTACTACAGTATGTCTAAAAACGAGTCTGTTAGGGATTACAGATGTAAGGAAACAGCCAGTTAGTGGATTCCCTACTAATTTACAACTTCATTGTGTTAGAATCTAGATTAATTCTAGGACAGAAATAATGAGAACTTCAGGTTAAGTAAGGGAAGAATCACAGGCAGAGCCTTGCTACCTGAACAATGTATCAAGCAGAAGGCTGATAAGCTTCAAGGTTAGCTCATGCCAGTTTGCTCCATTTCAGACTCTGATTCTTTTTTTCTTTCCTCATTTGGAAACTTCTTAGTTACCTACTAGGAAAGGGGAAGAAAACCTGATGAAAGTCTTTAATAGGATGCAAAGGCATTCCAAGTGCTTGCTTCATCTTACTTCATGGCTGGATTCATCTTGCTGTAGATGGACAGGAGTCCAACTCCTGCTATATACCCAGTAATGCAGACAGTCCGGGGCAGTGTTACAAAGCAGAAATAACATGAGCTGTATGGAAAGTAAAAAATGAACATAAGTGTTGGCTTGTTTACTGGTTTCAGCTTAAGAGTGGTTAAATGCCAAGATTCCCAGAAGTAGTGGATGGTACAGTTTCCAGATAGCAGCATGGCCTGGAACGTCTCTAACATCAAAATGCAATCCAATAAAGTTCTTGTTGTGCTGCAGGATTGTAATACTGTGTCACACTTTGCTGCTTCTGAAGGCTTAGTTATGATAGTTCTTCTGTAAAAGAAAAGAAACAATTTCCTTTAAATCTGCTATGTTTCTCATTTAAGTTCTCATGAAATTCAGGTTTGTTTTCAAGCTCTTCTAAACATAATATTAAGATTATAAAACTCAGAGAAGTGCTGCTGTTAATCGGATGCTCTTTGCAAATGTGTTACTAGGACTATCATGAAAAAATACAGTTCTATACAAACTAAAAGTTTTCTGTAATTTTGTAACTTTTGGATCACTGAAGTACAAGATACAGAAAAGAATTCAAGTAATTTGCTACATTTCCTTAAATACTGAATCAGTTAAATAATCTAAATTTTTCAGAGAATTAACGTTTGAATTTCTATAACAGCGGGCAGTCATCTTGGGCTGAGAGTTCATAAGTATATAATCTCCAGCATTTAACTGAAGCACTGATACGAATCAGTAGGGAAAAGTACACTTGTAAATCTAGAGTTGAAGGTTCAGTTGTGAACTGAGACAAGGGTAGTACTAATTGGTAGTACTATCTTTGAAGATGTTAATGGGAGTAGTAATTCTTATCCTTTCTCTTGGAATGGGTTAAGGCCCTTTATATGTACTCTATCTCTGTGGCTCCCCTTTTCCTTCTCTGAATTAAAATCTCCTGTTTGTGGTGGTCTGTTTCTTGCAGAGGCAGGGGTCCTAGGGAGCAACTCATCCGGTTATTTATTGTGCAAAGGCAGCAGTAGTATGATCCAAGAGTGCTGGCTCTTCATCTTGACTTCGCAGTCGTAATGCCCTTTTTCAATGCCATATGCTGTGCAAACTAACCTTTCCAAGCTCTATTTTAAGTATCTCCTCAAAAATACCTTTTTACTGTAAGGAATCAGAGTGACTTCTTACTATATTAGCTTTCCCTGCCACCCAAGCACCCGGGGAGGAAGGATACTAGAATGCTGCTGTTTTCTGTATGGACCAGCTACCAAAACGTTATAGGAGATGTCTTGCATTTATTTTCAGGTGGTGGTCTTTCCTCTGCTCAAATCCAGTCGTTCACGTTCACACCCTTCCCAGCCTTGCTGCATTGCCTTTGCACCGCTGCCACCTGGTGGGAGAAAAAAGGGAAAATTGAGAGGAAAGAATGAGAGAGACTTGTTCTGTTTCAAAAGCAGCTTCTGGAGATACCGTAGTCTGCAACAGCGAAGCACTTGCTGCCTGTTGGGAACGGTATATGATTGTCTAGTTGGGTGTGACAGGAAAGAACAAGTCTGACACAGGCAACATTCAAGATAAATTGATGAGCTGTATTGAGCAGCTCTAAGGGCTTGTTTACAGAAACACATAACTTAGCTCATTAGGCAGAATGTTATGATCAGCATAGTGCAGCAACAGTTAATGTCTGTGCATTGCTCCTGGTGGTGAAAATATCTTATAATAGAAGTAGTTTCAAAAGTGTCTGTCACATCACTGTGTGCAGAGTTTCTCCCTCAAAAATGACTTGCTGAATACAAGTGTACGCAGTGGAACTGTGTGGCTTAAATGCTTGTACTAGGTATTTTTTGTTCTTGCATATTTATTTTAGAGTTATGTTACTACTATTTAATTTTCCTGCAATTAAATTATTCTCTGATTTGAAATCATTAAAATTTGATGAGCAGCCCTAGCATTATGTTCCATTATTATTACATTTTAAAACAAAGCAAATATTTGATCCTTGATTGTATGATTGGTTTTTCTTAACTTGGATACCTGAACTCTTTGTCCCAATTCTTTACAGAAGTACTCAGATTTTATAATCTTTTAAAAAGATATTTTGTAGTAATTAGTTTGTCTGCTGCTCCAGTGGGGCTCAGTTCCTCAGTACTTATCACAGCTTCTGGCTGGGAAGCAAAACAAAATGCTTTGTTAAATGGAAGTTATTAAGGTTGTGTAAGCATGATGCTCTAAAGTTGCAGAATGCCTGACCATTACTTGCTGCTGCTTGGCCTGTGTCTTGTTAGCTAGGATCTGAGGGACTTTCCAGCTCTTCTCTCCCTCATCCAAGAGCAGTGAACTTGTGTTGTTCTATATAAACTCTGCCTTTCTATGATGTGTGTACATGTCAAAATCGGACATGCACCGTTCTGCATATGTTTTAAATTCTCTGTGTCTATTATAGCTTACCCTGAGGGTAAATCAGTTTATCTCTGAAGTCTAGAGTTTAAAGTGCATCAGTTGTCACGTCTCCTCAGACCTGTAGACTCTGCAGCTTAGTACTGGAATATTAGACATCAGGCAGATTTCTGCTGTATCACTGGTGGCAGCTGTTCTGTCTTGTCTTGAAGGGACAGTGACTTACACCATAATAGCCAGAATGTGCTGCTTCGGTCATGTATGTATAGCACAGTATCAGAATATTTAGGCTTTTTTGGGGGGTACGAACTTAGCTAGAATTAGTTGTCTTCATATATACACAGTAAATGGCTTTGATCCTTTGCTTTGAATCTCATGCTCTTGTTAGACTTTACTATCCACAGAATTATGATGTTTCAGAAATGCAGGACAGATTATTTTTATAATACTTTTAGTTGCACTATAGAAAACATAGAAAGGTTTATTGTATTTTAAGACTTAAAAATGTTTTGTTCAGGTTGGTGTGACTTCCACAAATGGAGACTTGAAAGGATTTATAGATCAGAACCAGAGTCCAACAAAAGGTAAGAGAATTCTGTTTGTGTACATAGAAAAGAAGCATACAGTAACACTTATTTCTGTCTTGTGTTTAGTAAATTAGTATTTCTGCTGATTTCACTGCATATGTTTGATTCAGTTTTGGGAGACTCACAACTTAAATGTTCAAAATGTATTCGCACATCCACACTGATGTTTTATGACTGACATGCAAGTGTCAGTAACAAAGACGGGATTTCAGAGGGAAAAGGAGAGTGTGGTAAAAATAATCAGAAGATAAAATAAGCTTTCTCCCTTTCCTCACCTTTCCCCCCTCTTTCCCTTTTCCTCTTTCCCCTTTTTTTTTTTCTTAGTGGTTAATAATGTGCTGAAGTTCCTCATTTCCACCCCAACCCTTAAAGCTCTCAGACTTTGATGTAGTCCAGATAGAGGTTAAGCATAATTTTATGGTCAGTGGTATCTTGTGGTACTTTTATAAGCGTTCTGGACAATTTACAGTAATAACTATGTTTTGTCCTATCCTATTCCATCTTAGGATTTCTAGTTTCATCACTTCTGACTCTAATATAGTGTGCTGGCAGTCAGAACAGCTATAGAATTCCAGTAAAATAAAACTGCAGCCCCATATGAATCTTAGAAAACTTGGGGATTTACAATTCAGATAATGCTTCGATCAACTTTTCTAAGTAACACTGGTCCGCTGTTTTCCACTGTGAAAAACAAATGCAAGTACTACCTGGAGGAATGATTTTTGGCTCATCACAACAGCTTCAGAGTCTGAAAAAATGAAATAGTCTAAACAGCAAATGGCTAGAGCTAAGGTATCTTCCTCTTTTACTAAACAATGCAGAACATTACAGGCTGTTTAGGCCTCTGAGAATTAATTTACTGTGCACTGGTGTGATAATTGCACTTTGTGGTTCATTACTTTGTGTTTACTGTGTCATGATACTAGGGAACAAGAGCAACATTTTCAGATAATTTGAGACAAGCAATTAATTTGTTCAGAGAATAACTTAATTGAATAACCTTATCAAGTAGAGGACATTGCTGTTAGTAGTAACATCTCAGTGATCCTTATCCCAGTCTTCATTGGATTTTGCTTCTGGGATGACAGATATATTATTCACGTCTGTTCTTCTATATTTTTTAAAATGCTATGCTCTAAGGATATTTTTTTTGACCTAGAAATATAATTAAAGATCACTGACATCTCTGAGATGTAACATCTTGTTCACACTGCCTTACTCTTCTTGGAGAATAAGCACTAGAAATGCACAATCAATTGCTTGACCCTTATGCTCCAAAATTGCCTTCTCTGCCTTTTTTTTTTTTTTTCCATTTACAGGCTTAACTTTCAAAATCTCTTTTCTCTCTGAGTTTTTCCCCTGAATATCTGAAGCAGTTACTATTGCTGCTGTTCCTGTATGCATTTGATCAGGCTTCATTTACCTTTCCCACTGTGACTTTTAGTGTCTGTGCACAACCTCTGGATATTTTCCAGGTTTATTTTGCTACAGGAGAAGTTAATGCTCACAGACTGCTTAGGTATTGCAATCTAATCTCTAAGTCTTAAAGTACTGCTGTGTCACTTGTGCTGATTTTTAAATCTGAATTACTGTTCCTAAAAAGGTTGACAGGTTTAGTATATTTGGGAATTCAGTTTTCTTATTACGTCCTTGTTTCCTGTAGTTGTTAGGGAATGCTGTGATCTTCTAGCTGTATCCTTCATTTTTGGTGGGTTGTTTTTTTCTATTATTATTAATATTGTTTGGGGGTTTTAGAATACTTTTAGTAATTTTTTTATTCCTTGTATAGATGATGTCTGGGAAAAAGAAGAATCTGTAGTACAGTGTATATTTAAATATGATGCAGATTTACTAAGTAGTTTGTTTTACATGTGATGATTGCAGAATCACACCCAGATTTGTAATCCTTGTAAAACGACTTAACTGCCTAATTCCAAAGTGAGCTAGATTTTTCTTTCCAGGTGTTCCTAGAAAGAAACGTGACAGTACTTAGCAGAGCATTAACTCAGAATGTTGTTTGTTTTGTTTAATGAACAATTCTTGTTCAACAGACAATTTACTTTGCTCCATTTGTTGCCTTTAACTTACAGGCAACAGGCTCTTGCAGCTAAAGGATCTGCATTTGGAGCTTGTTTCCTCTGCTTGAAATGAATACTCATTGCATCTGAGGGAAATGCCACATGGTTGGCTCTTGACTAATGGTCAGGGTTCTCACCCCATGCTAGGGGCCACTTGTTGCAAGGACAGTCATTGGGTGAAATAATTCAAGTAGTAGATTCTTATTGTTACAGTCAGAACAGTTCAGCTATGTCAGGCTGGGCTGACTATGCATCATTTCCTTATCTGAAAGTAGCTGGGAGACTAGTGATGAAAATTATTGCTGTAGGAGACCTGCATTTTAATTTTCCCAGACAAAAAATGGCCCTGGTTCTCATTCTTTAGTGAATGAGTACTCTTGAGTTACTGAACGGAAACGGGACTGATGGTTCCCCTTGTGTTTTAGAGAACAGATGATTGTTGCTGCTCTTAGCCTTGGGGATAGATCTGTATGTTGGTGATAGGTATTCTTCCAGTGTTTTGTCATAGATTGTGCCCACTGGAGAAACTCCTGGCATGTGCCATGCCAACAGGACTGACACACTCCTGATGCAGGCAGAACTTTGGTGCCTAATAAAGTTGACAACTAAGGTACTCCGTTATTTAGGTAATGTCCTAGTCTGAGTAGCAAGATGTCTTTGTGGAGTTGGCGTGTTCTGTTAAAATTATGAAGTACTATAGTTCAAGTTAGTTCTCAAACCTGTATAACTGGGTTTGTGGATGAGTTGGATAATGACAGCTCAGTTGTGGGTTTGGGTGATTGTTTCAAGCCGTGAATGAATTAAATCAAACATACTACAGGGTTCATGTGTAACCAGTAGGATTTAAAATTCAATCTGTTTGGGAGGCATTCCCAGTCAGGAAGTTGAACACTTCCAGTTTTGTAGTCCTGTTCATACATACTGTAAAGTGGAAAATCTAATCTTCTCATGCTGATGCCATGCAGAGGACATGTCTGTATGTCTTGGTCGCTTGTCCCATAAAGCCACCTAGAATCATAGAATAGTTAGGGTTGGAAAGGGCCTTAAGATCATCTAGTTCCAACCCCCTGCCATGGGCAGGGACAACTCACACTAAACCATCTCACCCAAGGCTTCGTCCAACCTGGCCTTGAATACCGCCAGGGATGGAGCATTCACAACCTCCCTGGGCAACTCATTCCAGTGCCTCACCACGCTTACAGGAAAGAATTTCTTCCTTATATACAATCTAAACTTCCCCTGTTTAAGTTTTAAACTCGTTACCCCTTGTCCTGTCACTACAGTCCCTAATGAAGAGTCCATCCCCAGCATCCCTATAGGCCCCCTTCAGATACTGGAAGGCTGCTATGAGGTCTCCACGCAGCCTTCTCTTCTCCAGGCTGAACAGCCCCAACTTTCTCAGCTTATCTTCATAAGGGAGGTGTTCCAGTCCCCTGATCATCCTCGTGGCCCTCCTCTGGACTTGTTCCAACAGTTCCATGTCCTTTTTATGTTGAGGACACCAGAACTGCACACAATACTCCAAGTGAGGTCTCATGAGAGCAGAGTAAAGGGGCAGGATCACCTCCTTCAACCTGCTGGTCACGCTCCTTTTGATGCAGCCCAGGATACAGTTGGCTTTCTGGGCTGCAAGCACACACTGCTGGCTCATGTTCATTATCTCATCGACCAGCACCCCCAAGCCCTTCTGCACAGGGCTGCTCTGAATCTCTTCTCTACCCAACCTGTAGCTGTGCCTGGGATTGATCTGACCCCGGTGTAGGACCTTGCACTTGTCATGGTTAAACTTCATGAGGTTGGCATCAGCCCACCTCACAAGCGTGTCAAGGTTCCTCTGGATGGCATTCCTTCTCTCCAGCGTATCAACCGAACCACACAGCTTGGTGTCATCGGCAAACTTGCTGAAGGCGCACTCAATCCCACTGTCCATGTCAGCAACGAAGATGCTAAACAAGACCAGTCCCAACACCGATCCCTGAGGGACCCCACTCGTTACTGGTCTCCAGCCAGACAATGAGCCATTGACCACAACTCTCTGTGTGCGGCCATCCAGCCAGTCCTTTACCCACCGAGTGGTCCATCCATCAAATTGATGTCTCTCCAATTTAGAGACAAGGATGTCGTGTGGGATAGTGTCAAACGCTTTACACAAGTCCAGGTAGATGACATCAGCTGCTTTACCCTGTCCATCAGTTCTGCAGCCCCATCACAGAAAGCCACCACATTGGTCAGCAGGACTTCCCCTTAGTGAAGCCATGCTGGCTGTCACCAAGCACCTTGTTGATTTTCATGTGCCTTAGCATGCCTTCCAGGAGAACCTGCTCCAAGATTTTGCCAGGCACAGAGGTGAGACTGACTGCTCTGTAATTCCCCAGGTCATCCATTTTCCCCTTCTTGAAAATGGGGGTTGTATTTCCCTTTTTCCACTGCACCTGCCCTCTGTGCATCTACGCAAGTATCTGCAGCTTTGGGAGCTCCTCTGCTGTTTACAGGCCACCTGATCTGCTGAGTGCTGGAGCTGCTAGGTATGAAGCAAGTTTTGCAATCGGATACTACTTGTAAATCATTTCAGTACTCAGAAAAGCTGCTGTTTCTCAGCTGTAAATGCAATGAGACTGGTGCTATGAGGTGAGCGCTGTAATTGAACACACCTGACACGAGTTGTTTCGTTCTGCAGTGACAGGGGAAGGGACGATGTGTTCTCAGGATTCCTTTGAACAACGCAGGATATGTGGAGAGCTGCAAGTTTTAAACCCTTCTGCCTGGCCTGTGCAGCTGTGCGGAACAAGCCAGGCTGCCGTGCGGTAGAGGCTGCACACACGGCTCCTGCTCTGCCCCGCACGGTGCCCGCGCTCCGTGCCTGGAGACGCTGTAGCGCGACCAGAATCGTTCCCAGCCGCCTGGGGTGCCCGGGTCAAC